TTCACGGTAGGGAGAATCATCCAAGGTAGAAAGAGGGCGGGTAAGCCGACGTACTGCTTCTTCCTGGACGTAAAAATGGCATACGACACCGTATGGCGAAACGGGTTGTGGAAACAACTGTCCAAATACGGGATCTAGGGGGAAATTTGGAGAGTTGTGAAGAAGATGACAGAGTGTACGAAAAGCGCGGTCTTGCTAGACGGAGAACTGCCTAAATTCTTCGACATTTAGCAGGGGGTCCCTCAAGGTTGCACGCTGTCCCCAACATTGTTCCAGGTGTTCATCAACGATCTGTTGGAAGTCGTAGAGGCAGTCCGGAAGGGAGTAAAAGTAGGGGACACGGAAACGTCGGTTTCAGGAATGCTGTTTGCGGATGATTTTGTCGGTATGTCGGACACCCCTGAGGGACTGCAACTGCAAATTGACGCGGCGAAGAAGTTTACTGATAAGTGGAGATTGTCTGCTAACGTTAAGAAGAGTACCGTCGTCATTGTATGCAACGAGAACAAGGAGACAGTAGAACATAGATGGAAGTGGGGGATCGAGGAGATTGCAGTAGTGGACCAGTACACATACCTTGGAGTAGAGATCGCAAAAGACTGCTCGTGGAATGCACACATGTCCAAGGTAGCGGAAAAGGGCAAATCACGAGCAGGGAAGCTGCATCCAATACTCGCAAACCGGCACCTCGATACACGCATCAAATTGACGGTTTTGAAGAGCGTAATCGTACCGCCGCTAGAGTACGCCGGAGAAGTATGGGAAGGAAATAAGAAGGTAGTGAAAGAACTCGAGGCGGCGCAGATGAAAGCAGCGAAAATCATCCTAGGATGCTCCACGCGCACAAGTAATGCAGCCGTGAGGGCAGAATTGGGGATCCAATCCCTACGGTCGGGAAGAGACACGAGGAAGCTGACATTTCAGTATCGCATGTGTGGGATGGGATAGGAGAGGTTGCCGAGAATTGTATGGGAGGCGAAGTGGGGAAACAAAAAGAGGGGTAGACAACCCACGGAATGGGTCAAGGTAGTGGAGGACGTATGGAAGGGGCTCGACATGGACGAAGATGAAACGCTGGAAACGGAGGGTCTACAGGGGTTCAAGGAGAAGATATTTGGGGCATAGGAGGTGGGTTGAAAAGGCGGGAAGGGATATCGATAGGATAGACAGACTAGGAAGGACATTTTTGAGCCACCTTTGGCAAAGTAGAGAGGAACGATTGGCCATCGGTGATCGGTCCTGTGGGAACAATGCTCCGTCCTCTCGAGGACGCGTGGTCAATGGTCTAACCGCTAAGACATGCAAAACATAAGAGTACGCCCCCCCCCCCCC